TATACATATATGGAGGAATAGTTGAATTGCCAATATATAAATAAATATACTTATGGAGGCATGGTTGAATTGGTAAAGTATAAATAAATATACTTAAGGAGGCATGGTTGAGTTGCCAATATATGAATGAAAGTATTTATAATGGCATGGTTGATTTGCCAACGCATAATTAAATTGTTATGTGTTAGATGATCAAAATATCATCTATGGTTATTGTATGTATAGATTGGATTAAGATTAAATAGTCTTAAATTAGAATATTCTACTGCTTACAAGTTAGTGTATTATTTTATACATACTAATAAAATAATACTGGTGAAGACATGGATGATTTGTCAAAGTTTAGATTTTGGAAATATGATTTAAATGATTTAAATTCACTATTGACTTTTGGAATAAATATAGTTTTCTTTGAATTATATTTTATTATTTAAATAATTATTTAAAATGGAGTGTAGGTTAAAGGGGTTTCTCTTTAATAAAGGAAGAGTTTTGAATTGGTTTAGGTGTGATTATGTTTAACCATGATTTAATGTTTCGAAAATTAATAAAACTATTAATGGAAAGGATGGTTATATTGTATATAATTATTTATATATATGTATATCATGCTATATTAAAGTTAAAACTTTATTAGGTTTGGTTTTGATCATAGATGATCTGCTTATTGGTTTTCAGAGGTCTGGTAGAGTGAACTTGCTCGTAGGGTTTAACCCACGATTTATTTTTCAGGTTATTAGAAGTTCAAGTCTCAAGGTTGAGGATCCGCAACTGGAGGACTTATCTATTCTTTCTATTTTATTTCAAAATAGGATATTATCACTTCCGTAAGTATTAATGGATTAATAGATAGTGGATTTTGGTTTAGGAGTCCTTGAGTTACAGGATTCCCGAGTTGTAAATTTTGAAAAATTATTAATGAAACTTTTATTTAATAGATTCCCTTCAGCGAGTTATTTATTTATTTATTTATTATTATTATTATTTTTTTGTACTCTGTGCTTGTTAAATACTTAAATTGTTTTTTTGATATTCCTTGATTTTGTGCGCAGACTTAATCAACCCTTGTTCCGAAATTAGGGGGTATCACATTTGGGTTAAAAGTTTTTCCACGTTAGAAAAATAAGAGAGTTAAAGAGAGAAGAAGAAGGGCTAACGAGGAGGAGGCTGGATCAAAGAAAGAGGAGACCGGATTTGGAAAAGAAAGACGAGTTCTTATCTATTTCTCCTCTTAGAATTCATAAACCTATCACCTTGAGTATCTAGATTATTTTTGTTTTGCTTTGTTGATTAATTAATTATTGAACGGATTATATGAGCATGTTAGTCTTTACAAAATTATAGATTTAAACATGTGAATGTATATATATATTGTTTTGATAATTTAAAATCTTGTATGTGAGGTTAGGTTAATTAAACTTTAGTTTCGAAATTTTTTATAGTTTGTTTTAACCTTGTGTAGTATGATTTAGTAAATTAAATAGATCTTAATTTAATTATATATATTTATTTATGGCAAAAAATAATAAATAAAGCTTTTAGGACTTTTCTGGGATTTTTTGAAATTTTCCTGGAATTAATTTATATTTTTTAATATTATTTTAAAAATTATATATATATATAAATATTTGTTTTTAAGCAAACTAGGGCTGGATTCAAATTGGCGTGTGTTCAATGGGCTGAAATCCAGTGTGTCGCGATCCATGGTATTATGGTGTGTCGTGGATCAGCACCATGGATGGGGCTTGAATAAAGGGAGACAGATCCAATGTGTTGCGGCTTATGAATGGATGGTGTCCATGCTAATCCACCGGCTGAGAAGAGTTAATAGAGGGGCGATTGATTGTGTACTTTATCACACATGAAGGGCTGGTGCGTGTGAGTATCTGGGCCACAAATGTGGTCTAGTTAACAAAAAAGGGATCTGGTGAGAGCAAGTGCACCAGAGCGCAGAAGGGCAACCAATAGGAACAAGCCACACACGTGCCAAGAGTGTGGCAGGTGCGTGGACGCGCCTGCCAATGAACCTGAGCGCGTGGAGGCGCGTGCAGTGTGTGTAGGAGAGTGGGGCGGCGTGTAAGGGTGCGTGGGGATGCGTGTGATGTCCCGAAAAGTTTCCGTGGGGTCCGGTGATGTCCTATAATTGATTTTTAACTCATTAGGGTTGAAAGCGAACACTATAAGAGATACTCCTAGGGCTTTGAGAGCTGCGGAGTATTACTACTACATTTAGTAGCACTTATTTGCGTAATATAAATATTTAATAATTTATTACGGAAGGAAGTGTGTGTGTGTGTGTGTGTGTATATATATATATATATATATATATATGTATATATATGATTTAAATAATCAAATAGTGTTATGGATGGTTTTACACATATATATTATATAATATAGGTGTATGTATATATATTGTTTAAAATTATTATTCTTATTTGGTGTAGCAGTATGGTTAATTAAATCATATTAGGTTGATTTTTTTAAATTAATGATATGCATATAATATGTATATGATTTCTATATGTGGATTAACTTCTTATTAAGTTTAAGGTTAGTACATGGTTAAATTGTAGGCATAGATGAGTTGCCAAAGGCTTAAATATACTACCTTATTATATATGAATAAATTTCTTATATAGGAAGCATAGTTGAGTTGCTAACTAATTGTATAAGTAAATATACTTAAGGAAGCGTGGTTGAATTGCTAGTATATAAATAAATATATTTATAAATGGCATGGTTGATTTGCCAGTGCATAATTAAATTACTATGTGTTTAGATGATTAAAATTTCATCTAAAGTTATTGTATGTATAGGTTGGATTATGGTTAGAATAATCTAGTATGTACAAGTTAGTGTATTATTTTATATTAATAAAATAATATTGGTGAAGACATGGATGATTTGTCAAAGCTTAAATTTTGGATATGTAATTTAAACAATCAACTGTATTATTAGGTTTTGGATTTATTGGATTAATCCTTAAATTATAAATTATTGCTTTAATGATTAAATTACTGTTTAGGACGGAATTAAGGTGAGTGGAGTTTACTTTATAAAAACATTATAAATGGAGGATTGGTCTAGGTATGATTAATTATTAATCATTGGTGAATAGTTTTGACAATTTAATGAACCTATTAACATATAGGATTATTATATTATATATATAAGTATATATATATATATATATATATATATATATATATATATATATATTTGTAGCATCGTATATTAAAGTTAAAGCTTTATTAGAGATGGTTTTGGTAGAGATGATCTGTTTATTGATTTTCAGAAGCTTGGTAGAGAGGGCTTGCTCGTAGGGTTTAACCCGCGATTTGTTTTTCAGGTTATTAGAAGATCAAGTCTCAAGGTTGAGGATTCGCAGTTGGAGCACTTATCCATTCTTTCTGTTTATTTAAAAGTAGGAAATTATTATTGTTTTAGTTGATATTAGTATTTATTTTTTTTGAAATTTTGCATAGGAACTTTTGGTTAAGGGGTCCTTGAGTTACGGGATTCCCGAGTTATAACCGTTTGGAAGTTATTAATGGATTTACTATTAATTAGTTTTCTTCCGCGTTTTATTTTATTCTTTATTTCATTTTGTAATTTGTGCTTGTTCATATACTTTAATTGTTTTGATATCCCGTAATTTCGTACGCGGATTTGATCAACCTGTATTCCGAAATTAGGGGGTATCACGTAAAATGCCGAGACTATCCTTTTAAAATTAGGGGTATTACATTCCTCGCCGGCGGCTTGACCGGAATCCCCTCGCCGACGTTCAAATCGGCCTCATTCTACTATAAAACTGGCCTGATCTGGCACGACCTTTGCAAATTCGATTTCGCCAGCAATTGCTTCGAGAAAGCCACTTATCTCACCTTAAACATCGAGATCAGCGCCATATCCGATCACGAAGAGCGAAAACTTCTCTTGGATATGAATATAGCGAGATCGAGAACGGCTTGGGAGATATCGGACCGAAATTTGGCAATTGAGCAAAAACTTCACTAAATAGGCATGATAGATTTTCATTTCTCTCTGCCCTCTGCTCGGAAACACAATTCCCATGCTCACAGCCAGTTAGAGCAAAAAAATCCACTCCTATCTTTCTCCACCTCAATCTCATACATAAATCATAATAGTTGCCCTGGATTGAAATTTGGTGCCAAATCAAGGTCTCTGTAACTATTTTTAGCCACCTGTAATACTCGGACTGGATCAAAAGCTCACTGGAGTTGGAGTTATATTCCATTGGAAACAATGGTTAGGGTACATAAGTAAATTCATCTCATTTTTATTTACACTATTATATATATATATACAATACCCATATAAATACAATATATATATATATATATATATATATATATATTATTTATATGGGTATTTTAGTCATTTATCATAAAAATTGAGGGTATTTCAGTAAATTTGACGTGTCCGTTAGTGCATTTGATGGTCAGTTATACCTAAGGGAGGTCCGCGTAATTTTCGAAATAAGAAGGATGTTGCCTGTAATTATGGCAAACTATAGAGGAGGTCTGTGTAAATTACCCTATATATATATATATATATATATATATATATATATATATATATATATCTTTTTCAATATAATATGAAATAATATAGGCAAGGGTATTTTCGGCATTTCATTAAAAATAGTAGCTGATGTCATCATTTTCCGTCATTGACTGCTGTTGACTCTAACAGAAGGGAGGTCCGTGTAGGATATTTTCAAAAGTAGGAGAAGTCCGCGTAATTTTCGAAACAGGAAGGATGCTTCCTGTAATTAAGGCAAACCATAGGATAGGTCTATGTAAATTACCCAATCATTTATAAATGAAACATCCATTTCTGAATAACTGGAATTTTGATTTTGCAATTAAATCAAGATAAAACCTTCATAAAATGCACTCAGTTTACTAAATTTAATGCATCTAGTAGCTTAGTCTTAGAAATAAAGACATTATTTAACTTGACCAATAATATGCATTTGAACCCAGCAAAAATGAAACCTGACTGCTGGTATTTTGTATATTTCTCCTCATGACAAGTAAACAAGGTGGCCAGAGTTTTCCAATACATGGATTACCCTCCCCTACAGTGAGAGAACTTATTTTACATATTGCTTGTAATGGTGATTGCACCAATTTAGGCTCCTGTTAAGTTTGTACATGTACCTTTTTAGCAGTTTTTGCCCATTTTATAGTTGACCTGGCCAAAGCATCCATGGGGTCGATACATTTCTTAAGAAGAGGATCATCCCCAGGCAAAAGACCCCGGAATTCATCAGAAGCGAGGATGACAATGTTCACAGCCCTCACCAAAAGAACCCGAATTGCAATCCTTACAAGATTTCTTGCCCCTTCCATATCCTTCATGTTCAGTGCTTCAATTACAGGTATTACTATGTGCTCCATAGTTGCTTTGTCCGGTAGCACAATCTCAAACCCCTGCAGAATTAGAACAACAGAGGAAACAGAAGAGATGATTTATATAACGGTAATGCATAAATAGGTACAGATATGAAAACCTTTTTCCTGTTTGCAGTCTGCCTATAGTTCTAAATTACTTTAGATGTTATATTGGTATTTCAAACCATTAGGTGAAACATAGAAGATATATAATCTGAGCTTCATAAAAAAGTTCAAAGTTTGATATTCATAAAGCATATTGTATGTTCATTAGCTTCGCTAAAGCATAGATTTCTACTTGTAGTTAGTATCCTGATGGATGTGATGAAGTTGAGAGGAGTTGTTCTATGTGCTAATTATCTTAATTCCTGCATTTTAAGTTTTCCAAACAAGTTATCATAAAGAGCATTTATGGATGTTTTTGGAATGCACGCAATCACATGCATATGTGTGTGTGTGTATACATATATATATCCACAATCAGAAATACCTGACTCTGTAGTTTCCCCTGATAAACAGCAGCCATTAAAGTTGGATCTGTGGCAAGCACCCCAATCCGGACATTACTTCCAGCTTCAAGTGGCCTCAGCTTTGCTTCTTTGAGCTCCCTGGCAACACATTCACCTACATCAAGGAAAGGTACCAAACATCCCTCGGATACCTGCCCGTGCCACACATGAGACATGTGGCACGGCATAACAATGCAACGAGCTCCAGACTGCTCAAGAAATGTCCTCCTACACCTCAAATTCTCAACTATGATTTTGTGATTTAATTGACTTCTAGCATCTTTGCCATTGACATGAGGAAATGGAACTACCCTGCTTGTTGCTGCATCGCTGCAGACCACAAAAGGTATGCATTCTCCTCCATCTCTTGTACTCCACCAAACAAGCTTTTCCAAGAAAATTAGAGTAGAAAACACAGATTCTCCTCCAATAATTCCTATGGAATCTGCTCGGCTAAGCAGAGAATTAGAATTAGGGGTCTGACATCTTGTTAAAACTCTAGTTGAGTTTGAAATCTTCTTCGACTCTGGTGAGTTTCCACCCTCATCAGTTTGTGCTAGTGCTGAAGAGAGTTGCATAGCCATAGATGGACCAGATCTTGTTCGATGACAAACCCTATTCTTATTTACATTACCTACTAAAACTAGTGGGCAATTTAGTGTATGTAAGGACATTGCCATTCCTCCATCAAACATCCTAATGACTATACTTAAGAAAGCTACTGATTCTGTATATATGCGTGTGCGTGTGTCCTGTGATTATGAGTTTCACTGTTCAAACAATATATGTGAAGCCACTAAAAATCAGTCCCTTGAAACCAAACTCACCTCTAAAAACTAGAAAAATTCCATAGGCTTTTCTGTAACTCATCACTAAAACCTTGGAACACTCCTCTCAATTGTCATGGAAAAAACTTTTCTGCTCAGAAGTTCTGAACCAAACCTCGAATGAGGAAAAAAGAAAAACTTGGTTTTCTATTCTCAACTCCCTACAAAAAAAAACAGAAAAAAGAACCCAAATCAGAAGACCATAAATAGTTGACAAAGTACAAACAAAAACCAAATTCCAAACCACAGAGTTATATTATAACAGCCCCAAAGCAAAAACACGAGTAGTTTTCCCTTAATTTCCAGAAATTCATTTTTAAGGAACAAACAAGAAGCCAACATCAAGAACTAGATATTTGGGGGGATGATGATGTAGGGAATTGGAAGGCATGTAGAGACATGATGCTCCACCAAATTAAAAGGGATCTCATGCACCATGTAATATAGGATGATCAAGATCAAGAATAAGTTCAAAGGAATCTACATGATTGTCACCATATCAACTTTTCCCATTGCATCATTTCGTACCTTACAAAACAGAGAAATTATAAATATATTTAATTCTGAAAATTACAAAAATAATTTTTTAAAAAATCTTTCATATATATCAAGACAGGCACTTATCACCTTGACCTTGCCTGGGCTGAATTATTTATATATCCTTGTCTGAGAAACCTGATAAGGATGGTATGCACATGGCCTGGTTCAGAACTAAACGACTGAGTCTGCTGCAAAAACTGAGTCAGAGTAGTCCATTTATCAGTGTTTCTTCCACCAATAAGTCTTATTTGGTGTAAGTCACTGCTATGATGAAAGTGACCAACAACTATCACACACACACACACATACCTGTGCTAAAAAAATCTTGAAAATAATGTCATATAGTGCATGATGAGTTGATGATGACCCCACTCACTCTTGTCTTACGCTGACTAAACTAGTAATAGACGATAAACTTATTGAAGAGTAATAAACTATTTTTCCTTTTTGGTGACATATTTGTGTTTAGTACATTTCCATTAATAATCATACAACTTGGCAAGTGACAGTAACGGGATGAGCAAACGACAATTGGCATATGATTTTTTTTGTCCTCTGATCCATTCCGTTGGTTCGTACTAAATAATTGTTCAAATTAATATTACAGGAGTATGTAAAACAAGGACAGGGTTTCACTAGAATTAACAACGAAGGTTTAGTTTTGAGGTCACCAATTCATGCCATCTCAGGTCATCATATATAGAATCATAGATAAGCGATGAGTCAGCTCCTCACGTTAGTCTAGTGATGAAAAAATGATATTGTTGACTAAATACGTGTATATGTTTATCCAAGTCATTAGTCATTAGCTATGAGTTGTGATCAGAAGAAGTCAAAAGTCAAATTAAGGGTGGATCCAGCCTTTTTAAATAGGGGTGGGTTAATTTTGGACTGAATTAATTTTGGATTGGACTAACTTTGAATTGGATTACCATTACTATTTTTTTTTGGGACTAAGCTTAAAGTAGTATGGCAAAAAAAATTTTGGGGTGGGCCGAAGCTTGGATCCGCTCTTGAGTCAAACCATTGATGAGCTTGAACATGCATCTGCCTAATACTATATGGGTTGATTTAAAATTTAAAAATAAAAGTGATGATATATAACGTATGTATGTGTTTATCTGTAAGTTTTTTTTTTTAATCCTTTTCGGAACTGACTGGAGTTTCTAAGTGCTTCTAGTGAATCTTTTTTTCCTGACAGTGATGTTAATTTCATGAAATTTATATTATGAAAACTTTGAAAATATTTTGATGCACATTATAAAGATATTTTACCTTAATTAGACTTGTCACCACCGAACCAATAATATATGAGAAAAGAATGTCTCCAAGAAAATATATTGAGATGAGAATGGAATTAATGTGTGGAACGCATTAGCTTAGGCGCAATATATATATATATAACTGACAAATAGTACAAGAAACTCAAAGAAGAATTACGTGTGTATATATATATATATATATATATATATAGGCACACATATATACACACATTAATTTTCAAACTCTGCCTTTAGATAAGTTCATGAAACCACTTCTTATTTGATTAAAAAAAAACACCTTACACACACATATATATACAGTTATACACACATCAATTTTCAAACTCTACTAAAAACCCTAAACCCCTTCTTAGACTTCTTTTGGTCAAGTTACGACTGGGTCCTAGAGTTGGGGGCTTTGGGAGATGTGATGTGGGATAATTCCCAACATGAGCAGTATTAATTAAAATTTAGGGTAACGTACCGCAACATTTTTTAAAGTTTGTCAAAATGATACACAGATGAAATTTAGCATATTTTGGAACAATGACACCCTTCATATTTCATACCATTACCAAAGACACCCCACTGGTAATAAATTGACATTTTTGCCCTTTGACTTTTATATTGACCCATTTAAATATTAAAATTACCTTTTTAACCTTAGTAACCCATTTCTTTCCTTCTCTCCTCCATCTGTTCTCTCTTCCTTCATCCTTCCATTTTTTTTTTTTTTTTTTTTTTTTTTTTTAATACACACACACACACACACACATATATATATATATATATATATATATATATATATATATATATTGTTTTTTCTGTTTGCTGTTTTTCTCTCTTGTTTTTTCTATTTGCTGTTTTTCTCTGGTTCGTTTTCTTCTTTGCTCACACACACACACACACACACACACACACACACATATATATATATATAATACCAATGTATATGCATGAAGGTTGAGAGGAAATATCCAAGAAATTTCTATATATTTATTATTAATTGTTCAAGCAGAAAAGTCATGTAGCCATTGACTTAGCCAAAGCCAAAATATTCTAGAAATTTCAATCTATTAGTTCTGAGGCACCTCAAACAATTAAGATATGTATGTATTTGTATATACATACATATATATAAATCCATCATCCTTATCTAATCATCCTTTTGCAGTAAGATTGAAATTGGATTATACTCATACTTAAAGAAAAAGACCTAAATTAGGTGAAAAATGCAGAGTTGTATTACCCATGATGCAGGTAATACTATGTCAAATTGACATCAGATTGAACCTTTTGAGAATGAAAATTGGGAACATATGCTTCCTGCTCGTAAGATGCGGTGTGTATTGAACTTAATGATTTGACCTTTCAAGGGTGGTGAAGCTCTTTTTCTTTTGTCTCTTAGACTGGTCGGACGCTGAGCAGGTGATGTTAAGAAGACGAATGTGTCCTATCCAAGTCTAGCTTTCCACTTTGATAGTATAGGTCCATACGCTATTAAAAGCCACCGAGATCAATTCAATGGTGAAAATCATGACTCTATCCCTTTTTAATTAGAGGGCGTGAACAGGACTTTCTCTAGCCTGAAAAAGAACGAGAAGGCGCATAGCAGCGATGTTTGGTTGAGGGTTTAATAATTCTTCTGTAGTAGAGCTCGCCTTAGGTTTCATAAGTGTGATTTGTAACATGACATTCCGAAATTGAAATAGCGTGTTCAAGTGGGTCGGGGGATGTGCTCCTGCGTAGCCAGAAGCTATGTGAAGCCAGACCGACAGCCAGAGGGCGAGGAGATTCAGGGAGATGAGTCAATTTGTGGCTGAAATAGGGCAATTGACTCTTTTTACTATATATATATATATATGATATTTTATAATAAATTTGATTTTTGGGTTAATTTCAGTGACACCACCCTTAAGTTTGGTCAATTCTCATTCCCAAACATCTTTCGAAAATAACTATCGCTTACATTATAAACTTTTGCTCCATTTTTCATTCGCACCTCAACCGTTAGTTAAACAGTTCTGACACAATATAAAATGACTTAAATATCCTTGAATTTTGTCAAAACAACTATTTTTAATCCAAAGAATTATATTAAAAGACTAAAATACCCCTATTTTTTTTATATAAATTTACTAAATTATATATACACACACAGACAAACATATATATATGTGTGTATATATACACATACAACACGCCGTGTACGGAGAGGATGTCTACATCGGTGCCGACCTTATTCTCTCCATGAATGCCGGTGAGAGCTCGGAACTGAGCTTCGAAGTGGGTTCGCTCCGAGTTAAATCAAAACCCATTAAAGAACAGATCATTTCCAGCATTTCCGCATACCCGTGTCTTCCCTTTGACGCAATACTTCAGTTCACAAATCACTGCCCCATAAACCAAGAATTTGGTTGCGCTGATAGAGGTGGCAGCAACATCCTCCATGTGATTGTCTTCTTCCAGGGGGACCACCGCCACTGTGCTCCTTCCCACTCTTTTTCCTTTTGTCCTTTCTCTAACTTAAAATATATTATATATATACACACACACACAAATATAAGGCTCAGTTTGGTAGAGTGGAAATGGGAGGAAATGGAAGGGAAAGTGATGGAGGGTGATTAAAAAATTGTGTTTAGGTAAAATGGGTGGAAGGAAATGAAAGGAGAGGGAAGGGTTTGGAGAGTTATGTATAGCTTTGTACAGTGATTTGCTTATCCTCCCAAAAATGGAAGAAAATGGAAGGAAAGGGAAGGCAATGGCTGTATAATATGTGTGATGCCAATTTTACCCTCAAAACAATATACATACAAGTTAGCAGTTGCAGACACAAATCCGAACTGGAACAGCAGCGATGGAAACTGAAAGATATGGGTTTTGATTTTCTGAACAATCTGAAATGATATACTGATACGAGTTTTGAATTTTTTATTCTTGCAGACAGAATGATAAACTGAAAAAATATGGGTTTGGGTTTTGAACTTCTGATTCTTGTAGTGCACAGAGAGAGAGAGAGAGAAAGAGGGCAAGTTCAGAGTTGAGAACGAGAATAGAGATGGAGGTGAGATTGGGGAGGCTAAAATGATTTGCCCTAAATTTTTTTTTTTTCTTTTCTTGTGGCCTATCAAGTATAGGAGACTATATATATAATAGAGATGGAGGCGAGACTGGGGAGACTGAAATGATTTGCCCTAATTTTTTTTTTTTAATATATATATAATAGAGATGGAGGCGAAACTGGGGAGGCTGAAATGATTAGCCCTAATTTTTTTTTCTTTTCTTGTGCAGGTATATGAGACTATATATATATATTTTAAAATACAAAAGGATATAATAGTCAATTTATTAAAATAATTTCCTTTCCTTTCTTTCCTTTTCTTTTCCCAAACATGATTATTATCATTCCCTTTCTTTTCCTTCATTAACCAACCAAACACGATAGGGGGTTAAAATTATCCTTTCCTTCATAACTAATGTCATCCTCCCTATTCAAACCCACCGTACCAAACATACCCTAACATATCAAAATCAAAACATTTTGATTTTTACAGCAATTCGCATACTAATTCAATTAGGTTCAATTGCAAATTAATAAGGCCCGCCGACCATCGCCGTGGCTTCTTCCCACCCTCTCTCCTTTTTCATTTCTCTAATTTATAATATTATTTATATATATATACACACACACACACACATAACTATAACAGAAGGTTCAATTGCAAATTAATGAGGCCCGAAATCATTCAATAGCAAATATATACAGGCATTGATGTTCTCCCATGAACATGAACCAATTGAACCAATTCACTCGGTGCAAGCCCTATCTCTATACCCAGCTGAGGACCAAACACCAAAAATATAGATAGTTTCACAGATCGGGTGAACAGCGATCTAACGGGGTTTTAGTGACCATGAAAGCCTTGCAAAGGTATCGTACTATAGCTACCATGAATTTCTGCGAAGGTACAGAGATG